AGAATGATGACGTGGCAACTATGTCGAAGCAGATAATTTATTTACCTACTTATTGAATTTTTTTTTCTTTATTTAATTTATTATGATCTTTCTTTTTTTCTCTTCTTGACATTTAATTTGTAATTTCTGCCTTAAATGTATTTTTATGTTTTCTTCATATAATATTGCCTTAATGCACAACAGTTGTTGGAATTGGAAAAAATATATATATATATATATATATATATATATATATATATATAAATTTGAGGGGGCGAATGCGTTAAAAAAATTATACGGGAATCCGTTAATGCTATTATATGTATTTTCACTTGGTACATTGGACTTTCTAATTTCATATTGGGCTTTGATTATGCAGGCTATTTTGACTTTTGGGCTGGGCTCCGTTAGTCTATAACTATTTATTTATTTTGTAGTTATTTTTTTATTTTATTTTTTTTTGAGAAGATTTTGTAGTTATTTTTGTTTGCAAGTATTTACTAATTCATCAAAAAGAAAAAAGAAAAAAGAAAAAAGAAAAAAGAAAAAGAGTATTACTGCCAAAACATTTAATCCACCATGTATAAATTCTTCTGCGAAATTAGTCTGATTTTGCTCGGTTTCCCCTACACTAAATTACAACTGAATTTTCTGTACCGATTTTATCCCATTTTTCTGTACAAAAGAAATTTCATCATTTCACAATTAAGTAATTAAAATAAAAATTGTGGTGAAAATGTGAAATATGATGAGTAATTTGGTGGAGTCGAAATAGTTACGCCGATTAATAAATCCTAAAAAAAATTAGATGCAAATATAATCATTAAATTGAAATGACATGTGGACCTTCCTTTTTGCCATACAAATTGGAAGCTATGGAATTTTAGGTATATTGATATTCCATTAACCATTTATTAATCTTGTTGTAGCTTTCAGATGATGTCATTATTATTAATTAATTGTATAAAGAATAAAAAAATTTATTGACCATAACTTGAAAAAGTGATCCATAATAATAAATGGTTCATTTGTCAATGTGAGTACGTAATCAGCAGCAGTATGTTAACTGTTAAGTCTCCAGCCTAATTAATGCTAGGCTGAAATTACAAAATATGTTAATTAATGATAATAGTTAATAAAGTTTATTATTTTTATAGATTTTTCTATTATAGATATAAAAAATCAAAGTTCAAACTTGTTTCGTTATTCAAGAGCTCATCATAATCGGTTCGAGAACCACAGAGTAGTGAGGTTGAGCTCGAAATCGAGCTGACAAAAATTTACATGAATATGAGATCGAGCGTTCTAAATAAATCAAAGCGAATTCGAATGATTAATTTACACTCTTAATTCATCACTCTGATTCAATTTCTCTCTTTTTGTTCGGATCGAAATTTCCTTCATTACTTGCTCCTTTAAAAAATATTCTTATTCTTTCTTTTGTGTCAAAAAGTTTGTACCAAGAATCTAGAGCTTTCAATATTAATAAATAAGATACTTCATTTTATTTTTTAAATGAACGAACCAATCAACCAAATATATAGGTGCATTGGATAATTCTACAGTCTCGTATAATAGCTTGCAAATAAGACTATAGATATAAAACATACTAGGCTAATTATGTGTGACAAACTTCATCTAGCGATCGTTGGTAATTCGAATCCGCTGGGGATGCAGAGTCAGAAGGTTGACTTGCTCCAACCGCTAGACCATCTCTTACGGAATAAATAAAAAATAAATAAATAAATAGGATTCTCATTATCCAAATAATGATGTTTGGATTAAAAATCATAAAGTATGTATAATTTAAAACAAGAGAGAATGTTAAAATTGCTGAAGTCACAAATTTGAATTTGTGACTGTGGGACCCATATTGAAGTAGTATTAAAATTTTAGACGTGATATCCATTTCTTCATAGACTTGATCTTAAAATTGACTTTAATTGATGCACTATAGTCCAATTAGAAATAAATAACTAAAATAAACAAATTTTTAAGTTAAATCACTTGTTTAAACTAAACGAACCCCTAATATATGTCAATACAAGATAAGTGCTATCTTATAGGTGGTGAGGAATTTCACTCTTCTAAATAGGGCTTAATTCCACTTTGTACCCCCGAAATTCACTATTTTGGCATTTTGCACCCCCATAAATAATTTATAGCACTTTCCATCCTCAAAACACATTTAATCGTTCAAAATGCACTCCGCTCTATTTTCCAGCTTTAACTAATTTTCTGATTGTCGACAAGGGTACTTTTGTCTCTTCATCGACTTTGTCTTTGTGGTGCAAAGTGCTAATATACCCCTGTTGACAATTCGAAAATTAGTCAACCCCGGAAAATATGACCGGCGGAAAATAGAGCAGGGTGACTTTTAAACGATTGAATGTGTTTTAAGGGTGTAAAGTGCCATAAATTATTTTCAAGGGTGCAAAGTGTCATAAATTATTTTCGAGGGTGCAAAGTGCCAAAATGGTGCATTTCGAGGGTGCAAATGGAATTAAAGCCTCTAAATAGTTAACTTTTGAAAATTGTCGTTAGCCCCCTTTTCATTAG